ATTATGGAAGGTAGTTTGTTTTCAATATTTTTTTTACTCCAATGGATGGTAGCCTTGTCATTATGGAACTTAGTTTGTTGTCGATATTTTTGTTATTCCAATGGATGGTAGCCTTATCAATATGGAAGGTAGTTTGTTGTCGAGATTTTTGTTACTCCAATGGATAGTAGGCTTGCCATTATGGAAGGTAGTCTGTTGTCGAGATTGTGTTACTCCAATTGATGGTAGCCTTTTCATTATGGAAGGTAGTCTATTGTCGAGATTTTTGTCACTCCAAAGGATGGTATCCTTGTCATTATGGAAGATATTTTGTTGTCGATATTTTTGTTACTCCAACGGATGGTAGTATTATCATTATGGAAGGTAGTGTGTTGTCGAAATCTTTGTTACTCCAATGGATGGTACCCTTGTCATTATGGAAGGTAGTCTGTTGGCGAGATTTTTGTTACTCCAATGGATGGTAGCCATGTCATTATGGAAGGTAGTCTCTTGTTGATATTTTCATTACTCAAATGCATGGTAGCCTTGTCATTATGGAAGGTAGTCTCTTATTGATATTTTCATTACTCCAATGGATGGTAGCCTGGTCATTATGGAAGCTAGACTATTGTCGAGATTTTTGTTACTCTAATGGATCGTAGCCTTGTCAATATGGAAGGTACTTTGTTGTCGAGTATTTTGTTACTCTAATGGATCGTAGCCTTGTCATTATGGAAGGTAGTCTGTTGTCGAGATTTTTGTTACTCTAATGGATGGTAGCCTTGTCATTATGGAAGGTAGTTTGTTGTCGAGATTTTTGTCACTCCAATGGATGATAGCCTTGTCATTATGGAAGGTAGTCTGTTGGCGAGATTTTTGTTACTCCAATGGATGGTATCCTTGTCAATATGGAAGGTAGTCTCTTGTGGATATTTTCGTTACTCCAATGGATGGTAGCCTTGTCATTATGGAAGGTAGTTTGTTGTCGATATTTTTGTTACTCTAATGGATGGTAGCCTTGTCATTATGGAAGGTAGTTTGTTGTCGAGATTTTTGTTACTCCAATGGATGGTAGCCTTGTCATTATTGAAGGTAGACTATTGTCGAGATTTTTGTTACTCTAATAGATGGTAGCCTTGTCATTATGGAAGGTAGTCTGTTGTCAAGATTTTTGTTACTCCAACAGATGGTAGTATTATCATTATGGAAGGTAGTGTGTTATCGAAATATTTGTTACTCCAATGGATGGTAGCCTAGTCATTATGGATGGTAGTTTGTTGTTGATATTTTTTTTACTCCAATGGATGGTAGGCTTTTCATTAAGGAAGGTAGTCTGTTGTCGATATTTTTGTTACTCCAATGGATGGTAGCCTTGTCATTATGGAAGGTAGTTTGTTGTCGATATTTTTTTTACTCCAATGGATGGTAGCCTTGTCATTATGGAACGTAGTTTGTTGTCGATATTTTTGTTATTCCAATGGATGGTAGCCTTATCAATATGGAAGGTAGTTTGTTGTCGAGATTTTTGTTATTCCAATGGATAGTAGGCTTGCAATTATGGAAGGTAGTCTGTTGTCGAGATTTTGTTACTCTAATGGATGGTAGCCTTTTCATTATGGAAGGTAGTCTATTGTTGAGATTTTTGTCACTCCAAAGGATGGTATCCTTGTCATTATGGAACATATTTTGTTGTCGTTATTTTTGTTACTCCAACGGATGGTAGTATTATCATTATGGAAGGTAGTGTGTTGTCGAAATCTTTGTTACTCCAATGGATGGTAGCCTTGTCATTATGGAAGGTAGTCTGTTGGTGAGATTTTTGTTACTCCAATGGATGGTAGCCATGTCATTATGGAAGGTAGTCTCTTGGTGATATTTTCATTACTCAAATGCATGCTAGCCTTGTCATTATGGAAGGTAGTCTCTTATTGATATTTTCGTTACTCCAATGGATGGTAGCCTGGTCATTATGGAAGCTAGACTATTGTCGAGATTTTTGTTACTCTAATGGATCGTAGCCTTCTCATTATGGAAGGTAGTCTGTTGTCGAAATTTTTGTTACTCTAATGGATCCACTACAAGAAAAATGATAGATTGGGACGGTTATTTTGGCTGATTACGACGGTTAAAACCGTCGCAATTTACAATCTACGACGGTAGAAGTACCGTCGCAGAATCGTGCGTCCCCAGCCTATTTCGCGACGGTTGCAAAAACTGTCACGCACAACAGATGGAGACGGTTATATACCGTCGTGAATTTGACTTTATTTTTTGTTTTTGTTGTTGTTTGCGACGATTATATACCGTCGTGAATTTGACTTTATTTTTTGTTGTTGTTGTTTGCGACGGTTATATACCGTCGTGAATTTGACTTTAACCGTCGTAATCTGATTTATAAATTTCAAATAATATTTTTATTTAAATTATTATTTAGTAAAATAATTTTAAATGTAATATTATTTTACTATAATATTTTACTATTATATTTAAATTATTATTTACTTTAATATTTTTTTATTTATAGTATTTTTATTTTATTTTCTATCACTTTTCAACATTGTTTTGAAATGAGCAATCCAATTGTTTTGAAAAATTTACTAACTCAGTATTATTAATTCAGTTGGGAAACCATTTGTAAAATAATGCAAGGAGACATTGCTTTTGCTATTGAAGCGTGAGATTTCCGTGAGATACCAGTACTTATTATTGGGAGAAAAGATTTATGAATTATTGCACATTGTAATATGCTTATACCACCTTATAACTTTGCTACAAGTTACCTATAACAAGTGAGATTTTCCGATTTTCAGGAACTATAACAAAAAGAGGTTAGCTCCGAAATCTCTTGATCATTTTGCAATCTTTGCAGCCATTTCTCTGACCAACTTAGCAGCTACCATAGCAGTCATTCCATCAACAGTATCGCGTTGTGGGTTGAGTTTAACGACGTCTCCAGCAACAACATCACCTTGAAGATTGTGTAGGATGTTAAGAACATCGCGGAAAGAAAGACCTCCCGATTCAATATGAGACACTCCCGGAGCAAATGCAGGATCAAGACAATCCACGTCTATCGAGATATACACCCCTTTCACACCTTCCCCTAGTTTCTGCACAAGGAAATCACCAAGGTTTAAAAAGAACATACAAATGCACAAGTTAGTATCAATACATGCACACTCGGCATCAAGGGCACTTGTAGCTTCATCAAGAAGTAATATTTTTGGATCTTTCAAAATTGCTCTTCCAATTGCAACTCTTTGCTTTTGACCTCCCTAGAGTTGAGTTCCATGTTCACCAACCATTGCGTCTAGTCCCTAAGATCATTAACCATGTTTAAACAAAATGATTAAATAAAAAAGAACACGCTCAATATGAAGGGGCAGAATATTTCAAACTGTAAAATAGAATTTACTATGACGTTACATGTACATTCAGGAGGAACATGAATACCTTGTACTAATACAGTGAATTGATCGATGAAGCTCCAGCTTGGAGGAATAGAAGCAAGCAATTAGTTGTTATGCAATGTACTCATACTCCTTCATGTAATATTAACATCAACCATGAAACTCAATCACTGTCATACAGGTTAACATAAACAATAATAATTGAAAGCATGTATTTAAAAAAAATGTGAGCAATAATCACTTACAAAATAAAGAAGAATGCAAACAACCCCGATGAAAATGTAAGCAGCGCAAAATTGAATCTGTAACCTTGATAAAGGCCAAATCTAGCGATTAGAGTTCCTATGTTATAACTGATACAAATTAAACGAAAAGACTCGAATTTCAATAACACTTACTACAAATATTTCACTCACATGTGTAGTAGTGTAAATAAAACAACAAACATTAAAATTGTCATTTGATAGGTGCCATCATCACAATACCCTATAAGACCAGTCAAGTATTTATGATGAACTATAGCAAAACATTTGGCTATTCAATCACAAAGGATAAAACTTGTTAACTGTATTTACACTCACACAGGCATGATGACATTTGCAAGTTAGTTAATCATACTACCTCCACTTGAAATTGTAGATATCCTTGAGCTGATGAGAAAGATAGCATTTTGACAGCTACGTCAATATCATCACAATCCAGCCATGGTAGACTATTTCAGATGCTTCTTTCCCCCACCACCTTTTCAAAGTTTCTGGTAATGCTTAATACTTCTTCATAGGTGAATTCTTGTTTCTTTGACTCTAGTTCTTGCTTTATTCTTGAATAAGCACCAACCTTGCTCACCTGATGGGAAGCTATGACGAAGAAACACATTCATTATCGAAATGGAAGAAAAAGTACCACGAAGATTGAGAAACTTACATGTGTGATGAATAAACTATATAAAAAATATACCTTTGCAATAACATGGTAGGCTGTCAAGGTTCTAAGAAAATACTTCATCTCTTAAATTGCTTCAACATACAAATAAGGAATACATAATCCCTAAAATGTTTCCTCTTTCATGTAACTCACCACTAACTAAGAAGTTTCATTGGCCTTTGCATTTTCTTCTAAACCTTCCAATTAAATTGACCCCTGTGAAATTTAATATTATTCAACCAAGAATGAAACACATGAAAATTAAGTATAAAACTACACAATAGTACTTCAATAGTTCAACTTTTACAATAACATATACTGTCCAAAAAAAAAATCTTTATTACAGAAAGTGAATATGTTACAAATTATAAGATATTATCCAAAAAAATTAAACTCTAAAGAACACGCCAAAGAACAAATAAAACATGCAGGTTGCCAAAATCAAGTATTTTAATTCATCCTCTGAAATTTTGAATTAACACATTTTTTCAACCGTCCCAACTCACAGTTTTTTAATCCAAACAATCTCCTTCAGAAACTTGAATCCAACAAATCTTCTAGACAAAAAAAAAAAAACTACTTAAAAAATCTATAGTTTCAATGCTTGGCGAAGTTTCCACCTTGAGAGTGCGAACAAATAAGCCACTCGTTTTGTTCTTCATGTTACAAACTTTCGTAAAAGATTAGTTAAACTCGTCTTCTGCTATATCGAAGTAATTCAAACATAGTTTCAGCGATAACAAAAGCTATAGCATTATACTCACGATATTCCAACGACCTTTCAATAGAATATGTAAGTGACTTCAAAAGAGGGCAAGATCGACCAAGGATTTTGAGAGAGTCTTTGTGTAAGTTGGTAAGTAAAATATCAATCATCTCTAATCGCAGAAGCTTTCTCACAGCTTCACAACACCCTTTATCAGAAATATTCCAGCAATCTACCAACCCCATGGAATGTAGGTGACTGCGCTGTAAAATTTGAAGTAAAAATTTTAAACAGATTGGTAAATGAAAACAATAAAATATCTATGAACTGAACTTGGATATTACTTACTTATCAGTTATGCATTCAAGGAGATTATTGGTGCCAAAACGCACAATATCAATTTCTTCAAGATGATCACAAATTCGTTCAACAACTCTGAAACAAATCTTCAACAATTCCACATCATCGTAAGGACTATTCCACCAAACAGGGCACACTCGGCATGCACTCATCAAATACTTTAATATATATATAGGTACAGCTAACCATAACTAACTCTCTTATGTCAGTTACAACAGCTGGCTACAGCTGGCAAGCTTAACTCTAGCACATGTCTAAAAGCTAACTAATGCAATAACCAACTGACTAATCTAACAAGAGTGATTCCAAGTGAAAATTGATTGAAATGAGTGAAGGGTGGTTAACTGACTGACGGCTGTCAAGCAGCTAGTTACAAGGAAGCTAAAACAGTTATAGTTGATTACACTACAGGTGTTTTATATTATAAGGGAGACTCTATACAAGCTCTCATGAGCTTGAGTTAAGTTATATTAGCTTTATGCTTTCTTGTACAAGAATGAAAGCTCTGCTATGTCAGTGTTTATATTACGAAAGAAATGAAGTATTGATACTTGAGAGTTAGAAATCAACACAAAGCCTATTGAAATCAACACAAAGCCTATTGAAATCAACACAAAGCCAGCTCAGTTATCTTCCACTCTTTCATATTTCGGAATATATCATGTTGGTCACAATCTTATTGCTCTATATCTATAATAGGGTTAGTCCAAATATTTGGTATGAAAGGAGAGCAAATTACTAAGTAAAATTTGGATAAGGGTTAATTTATGCTCACCTCTAAGACGTTGTAGATCACATACAGTTTGATTGTTGCTTGACCACGGATTATATGATATATGAAGCTGATATCTAAAACAACAAAAAATTAGGAGTGGTGAGCATAACACCAATTTCAGCATAAGAAACAACCTGATAATTCAAAACAGAAATATGTATATGGAACTAAACCTATTTGCTGCAAAACAGTGATTCCACAAGCCATAATAATAAAATAGCCAAAATCCGACAATTCAACTGGAGACAGCCTCTTGAAATTCCTGCCATGAGCATGACGAGGTCATGTTGATAGTATTAAATTAAATAATTAAACTGAAATCATGAATCACCACCAAATTTTTTAAACATGAGAATTAGTAGAAGAGCCAACAAATCAAAGCACATGAATTAGCAGACCATATCATTAAGTATGTGATAGATTCATCTTTTTTGGTAAACACAAAATCAGGGTAGATTGTCTCATTAAACCAATCTAAATCCTTTTTACGAGTCAACAAAAACGAACCATGTTCAATTTCCTTCGTAAATTTAATACAATTTTGGAAATTGAATACAAAATTGAACTAAATGCTCACAGCTCAAGTGAAAACTCTAAACTAAACAAAAAGATGCAAAGGGATAAGTATATCATCTAAATCCTAACAGGTGCACTGAATGACATCAAAGTATTATGACAGATCATGAAGAAAGGTGGCAAACCTTGTTTTCAGAAGCTTCCAAACGATCATTACCACCCTTGTTGGCATCACAGTTAACAATGACAGAAAGGAATTGAAACAGACAAAGAAGCCAACATCAATAAGCTGCAAATGAATTCAGCACTTGAGATACCATGACATAAAAAGTAGAATGCATAAACAGAAATACACAAACACAATTCTTAAGTAACTATTTCACAGTAAATGAATAGCTTCGGGTTACATCCTTCCCCCAAAACGCCTACATTATATTTTTTTTCTGATCAATTGATAAGTTTGAAGGAAACTTCTAGCAACTAAACACTGGAGCATACCCATCTACAACATCTAGAACTGCAAACAAGAAAAGACAAGTATACCAAATACCAATTCACATCTCCATGGCAAGCGGAAGATAGTGTCATAAACCCGTTCTCTTCCTTTTTCATCCCCAAGAGTTGTTGTGTTCCATAAAGAATTTCCATTGCCAACTTTCTCCAAGAAGTATGCTACAGGTGATTTCTTCACTGTCACTGAAAACATGTCCATAAATTCCTTAGCAGAATAAGACACAAAATAAAGGCAATAGGCTTCTTAAAATAATCAGCACTACAGAGTATTGATTAGTTTAGATAGATGGATAAACAGATGAAACATACGAATAACGATAAGCCAAATCAATTTTCCATGCAACGAGCTAAAAAACATGAATTCATGTCAGTTTTTACTTGACTGCCAAGAAACAACCAACTAGAAAGAGATTGGAAATCCCTTATATTTAGGTCATTAGTTTAAGCTTAACAAGAGTATTTTATGAAATAGCTTTTCTAAGTCTTCATTGACAGCAGCTTTAAGTCTTGAAGCAATATCCTTTACAAAATAAAGAACTTGCATCAACTATTCAAAAACACAACAAAAAGCACTGACAATCAAGCCTCGACTCCGCACTAAAACAATACGAAAGCATAAAATTACCTGGAAAACACCCTTATCAACCTTGCATTTTAAAATGCCATTGACCTTTAAGGCTTTAATGCTACAATTCATCCTAAGTTAATAAACAAGCAAGAGTTTGTTTCAGTAATTACATATTTCATCCTTACCACACAAAGTATTCAGCTTATTTGAACCACATTTTCATAAGAAAGAAGAATGTGAGTTTCTATAAATGGCTTTTTTTTCTAACAATTTACATAATTTACATTAGATTTCAATTAAAATCCTGAAAAAGGATCAAAACAACAACTGAACAACAACAACAATAATGACTAAATTGTGTAAAAGCATCTCCTTGAGTTCAATTTCACAGCAAACAAAGAAATTGTCAATCACTTGGTTAATTTCCCAAACAATTCGTGTGTTCATAATAATCACAACAAGCCTAACCTAAAAACCTCTCAAACAAAAAAAACAAAGCCAATTATAGATGAATTTCATGAACACCAGATCTATCTAGAGGGATAAAAAGGTAAAATAAATTAATAATGGAATTGAAAATTATTTTTTAAAAAATTTACCTACCAATGCAATTGGCTCAATGTTGTGAACCGTGTTTCTCGACCCACCGCATTTCTTAAGGTCAACAATAACCTTCTTACCCAAAACCCCTTTGTAGTACTCAAACAAACCCCCGAGCTCCTTTTCTAGGGTTTCGATTTAAGCTAGCTTCTCTTCTGGTGTTCGTAGGTGCTGTAACTTGGAATTGACCTCTTTCTTCCGCTTCTGGGAGTTGGTTTTGGGGTGATTGGTTGTCGAATCTTGAATCGGTGGTGGTGCCGGATGGTGAAGTATGGATGGATGGTGAAGTATGGATGGTCGGTGCCGGATGGTGAAGTATGAATAAAATTTCTATAATCTAAATCTAACAGAGAAGCACAGGACTGTTATTTTTTCTCATTATTGCATAAATTAAGTAGTATAACTTTTTGACATATATTATTCATATGCATCAAATCCCAGTCAGGTTTCAGTATTGCTATTTAACTATTCAAAAATAATCATTATACATTGCAACTTGTCAATAAACATATAGTACATATTTTTGCATCTAGGCTGTGTATAATATATTGATAGGAAAAGGCCAAATTTTAGAAGAAAAAAATGATATAATTTTAACTATTCAAAATTTTTATGTATTTTAAGAGCTTTTTAACTTTTTTACGGCGACGGGTGTTTTACCGTCGTGCCCATGAGAATTTTTAAAGGTTTTGGGTGCGACGGTTGTTTTACCGTCGTGAAATGAATTTTAGGACGGATAATTTTACCGTCGTGAAAGGTTTAAGGGTGCGACGGGTGCTTTACCGTCGTGATATGCCTTTTAGGACGGTTAATTTTACCGTCGTGACTAGTTGTTGGTGAAAAATCAATGTTAAAAGTGTTAAATGGGGGCCGACGGTTGTTTTACCATCGTAATAATAATATTATGATGGTTAAATATACCGTCGCAAAATAAATATTAGGGACGGTTGGTGTCAACTGTCGTAAACAATGTCGCTATATGTCAATTACGACAGTTATCACATAACTGTCGCAATTTTTGTGTCGTTAAACACTAATTTTCTTGTAGTGATCGTACCCTCATCATTATGGAAGGTAGTCTGTTGTCGAGATTTTTGTTACTCTAATGGATGGTAGCCTTGTCATTATGGAAGGTAGTTTGTTGTCGAGATTTTTGTCACTCCAATGGATGATAGCCTTGTCATTATGGAAGGTAGTTTGTTGGCGAGATTTTTGTTACTCCAATGGATGGTATCCTTGTCATTATGGAAGGTAGTCCCTTGTTGATATTTTCGTTACTCCAATGGATGGTAGCCTTGTCATTATGGAAGGTAGTTTGTTATCGATATTTTTGTTACTCTAATGGATGGTAGCCTTGTCATTATGGAAGGTAGTTTGTTGTCGAGATTTTTGTTACTCCAATGGATGGTAGCCTTGTCATTATTGAAGGTAGACTGTTGTCGAGATTTTTGTTACTCTAATAGATGGTAGCCTTGTCATTATGGAAGATTGTTTGTTGTCAAGATTTTTGTTACTCCAACGGATGGTAGTATTATCATTATGGAAGGTAGTGTGTTTGCGAAATCTTTTTTACTCCAATGGATGGTAGCCTAGTCATTATAGATGGTAGTTTGTTGTCAAGATTTTTGTTACTCCAATGGATGGTAGGCTTTTCATTAAGGAATGTAGTCTGTTGTCGATATTTTTGTTACTCCAATGGATGGTAGCCTTGTCATTATGGAAGGTGGTTTGCTTTCGAAATTTTTGTTACTCCAATGGATGGTAGCCTTGTCATTATGGAACGTAGTTTGTTGTCGATATTTTTGTTATTCCAATGGATAGTAGCCTTATCAATATGGAAGGTAGTTTGTTGTCGAGATATTTGTTACTCCAATGGATAGTAGGCTTGCCATTATGGAAGGTAGTCTGTTGTCGAGATTTTGTTACTCCAATGAATGGTAGCCTTTTCATTATGGAAGGTAGTCTATTGTCGAGATTTTTGTCACTCCAAAGGATGGTATCCTTGTCATTATGGAAGATATTTTGTTGTCGTTATTTTTGTTACTCCAACGGATGTTAGTATTATCATTATGGAAGGTAGTGTAATGTCGAAATCTTTGTTACTCCAATGGATGGTAGCCTTGTCATTATGGAAGGTAGTCTGTTGGCGAGATTTTTGTTACTCCAATGGATGGTAGCCATGTCATTATGGAAGGTAGTCTCGTGTTGGTATTTTCATTACTCAAATGCATGGTAGCCTTGTGATTATGGAAGGTAGTCTCTTATTGATATTTTCATTACTCCAATGGATGGTAGCCTGGTCATTATGAAAGCAAGACTATTGTCGAGATTTTTGTTAATCTAATGGATCGTAGTCTTGTCATTATGGAAGGTAGTCTGTTGTTGAGATTTTTTTTACTCTAATGGATGGTAGCCTTGTCATTATGGAAGGTAGTCTGTTGTCGAGATTTTTGTTACTCTAATGGATGGTAGCCTTGTCATTATGGAAGGTAGTTTGTTGTCGAGATTTTTGTCACTCCAATGGATGATAGCCTTGTCATTATGGAAGGTAGTCTGTTGGTGAGATTTTTATTACTCCAATGGATGGTATCCTTGTCATTATGGAAGGTAGTCTCTTGTTGATATTTTCGTTACTCCAATGGATGGTATCCTTGTCATTATGGAAGGTAGTTTATTGTCGATATTTTTGTTACTCTAATGGATGGTAGCCTTGTCATTATTGAAGGTAGACTTTTGTCGAGATTTTTGTTACTCTAATAGATGGTAGCCTTTTCATTTTAGAAGGTAGTCTGTTGTCAAGATTTTTGTTACTCCAAGGGATGGTAGTATTATCATTATGGAAGGTAGTGTGTTGTCGAAATCTTTTTTACTCCAATGGATGGTAGCCTAGTCATTATGGATGGTAGTTTGTTGTCAAGATTTTTGTTACTCCAATGGATGGTAGGCTTTTCATTAAGGAAGGTAGTTTGCTTTCGAAATTTTTGTTACTCCAATGGATGGTAGCCTTGCCATTATAGAATGTAGTTTGTTGTCCATAATTTTGTTATTCCAATGTATGGTAGCCTTATCAATATGGAAGGTAGTTTGATGTCGAGATTTTTGTTACTCCAATGGATAGTAGGCTTGTCATTACGGAAGGTAGTCTGTTGTCGAGATTTTGTTACTCCAATGGATGCTATTTTTTTCATTCTAGAAGGTAGTCTTTTGTCAAGATTTTTGTCACTCCAAAGGATGGTAGCCTTGTCATTATGGAAGGTAGTGTGTTGTCGAAATCTTTGTTACTCCAATGGATGGTAGCCTTGTCATTATGGAAGGTAGTCTGTTGGCGAGATTTTTGTTACTCCAATGGATGGTAGCCATGTCATTATGGAAGGTAGTCTCTTGTTGATATTTTCGTTACTCCAATGGATGGTAGCCTTGTCATTATGGAAGGTAGTTTGTTGTCGATATTTTTGTTACTCTAATGGATGGTAGCCTTGTCATTATGGAAGGTAGTTTGTTGTCGAGATTTTTGTTACTCCAATGGATGGTAGCCTTGTCATTATTGAAGGTAGACTGTTGTCGAGATTTTTGTTACTCTAATAGATGGTAGCCTTGTCATTATGGAAGGTAGTCTGTTGTCAAGATTTTTGTTACTCCAACAGATGGTAGTATCATCATTATGGAAGGTAGTGTGTTGTCGAAATATTTGTTACTCCAATGGATGGTAACCTAGTCATTATGGATGGTAGTTTGTTGTCGAGATTTTTTTTACTCCAATGGATGGTAGGCTTTTCATTAAGGAAGGTAGTCTATTGTCGATATTTTTGTTACTCCAATGGATGGTAGTCTTGTCATTATGGAAGGTAGTTTGTTGTTGATATTTTTTTTACTCCAATGGATGGTAGCCTTGTCATTATGAAACATAGTTTGTTGTCGATATTTTTGTTATTCCAATGGATGGTAGCCTTATCAATATGGAAGGTAGTTTGTTATCGAGATTTTTGTTACTCCAATGGATAGTAGGCTTGCCATTATAGAAGGTAGTCTATTGTCGAGATTTTGTTACTCCAATGGATGGTAGCCTTTTCATTATGGAAGGTAGTCTATTGTTGAGATTTTTGTCACTCCAAAGGATGGTATACTTGTCATTATGGAAGATATTTTGTTGTCGTTATTTTTGTTACTCCAACGGATGGTAGTATTATCATTATGGAAGGTAGTGTGTTGTCAAAATCTTTGTTACTCCAATGGATGGTAGCCTTGTCATTATGGAAGGTAGTATGTTGGCGAGATTTTTGTTACTCCAATGGATGGTAGCCATGTCCTTATGGAAGGTAGTCTCTTGTTGATATTTTCATTACTCAAATGCATGGTAGCCTTGTCATTATGGAAGGTAGTCTCTTATTGATATTTTCGTTACTCCAATGGATGGTAGCCTGGTCATTATGGAAGCTAGACTATTGTCGAGATTTTTGTTACTCTAATGGATCGTAGACTTGTCATTATGGAAGGTAGTCTGTTGTCGAGATTTTTGTTACTCTAATGGATCGTACCCTTGTCATTATGGAAGGTAGTCTGTTGTGGAGATTTTTGTTACTCTAATGGATGGTAGCCTTGTCATTATGGAAGGTAGTTTGTTGTCGAGATTTTTGTCACTCCAATGGATGTTAGCCTTGTCATTATGGAAGGTAGTTTGTTGGCGAGATTTTTGTTACTCCAATGGATGGTATCCTTGTCATTATGGAAGGTAGTCTCTTGTTGATATTTTCGTTACTCCAATGGATGGTAGCATTGTCATTATGGAAGGTAGTTTGTTATCAATATTTTTGTTACTCTAATGGATGGTAGCCTTGTCATTATGGAAAGTAGTCTGTTGTCGATATTTTTGTTACTCCAACGGATGGTAGTATTATCATTATGGAAGGTAGTGTGTTGTCGAAATCTTTTTTACTCCAATGGATTGTATCCTAGTCATTATATATGGTAGTTTGTTGTCAAAATTTTTGTTACTCCAATGGATGGTAGGCTTTTCATTAAGGAAGGTAGTCTGTTGTCGATATTTTTGTTACTCCAATGGATGGTAGCCTTGTCATTATGGAAGGTAGTTTGCTTTCGAAATTTTTGTTACTCCAATGGATGGTAGGCTTGTCATTATGGAACGTAGTTTGTTGTCGATATTTTTGTTATTCCAATGGATGGTAGCCTTATCAATATGGAAGGTAGTTTGTTGTCGAGATTTTTGTTAATCCAATGGATTGTAGGCTTGCCATTATGGAAGGTAGTCTGTTGTCGAGATTGTGTTACTCCAATGGATGGTAGCCTTTTCATTATGGAAGGTAGTCTATTGTCGAGATTTTTGTCACTCCAAAGGATGGTATCCTTGTCATTATGGAAGATATTTTGTTGTCGTTATTTTTGTTACTCCAACGGATGGTAGTATTATCATTATGGAAGGTAGTGTAATGTCGAAATCTTTGTTACTCCAATGGATGGTAGCCTTGTGATTATGGAAGGTAGTCTGTTGGCAATATTTTTGTTACTTCAATGGATGTTAGCCATGTCATTATGGAAGGTAGTCTCTTGTTGATATTTTTATTACTCAAATGCATGGTAGCCTTGTCATTATGGAAGGTAGTCTGTTATTGATATTTTCATTACTCCAATGGATGGTAGCCTGGTCATTATGGAAGCTAGACTATTGTCGAGATTTTTGTTAATCTAATTGATCGTAGCCTTGTCATTATGGAAGGTAGTCTGTTGTTGATATTTTTGTTACTCTAATGGATCGTAGCCTTGTCATTATGGAAGGTAGTCTGTTGTCGAGATTTTTGTTACTCTAATGGATGGTAGCCTTGTAATTATGGAAAGTAGTTTGTTCTCGAGATTTTTGTCACTCCAATGGATGATAGGCTTATCATTATGGAAGGTAGTCTGTTGGCGAGATATTTGTTACTCCAATGGATTGTATCCTTGTCATTATGGAAGGTAGTCTCTTGTTGATATTTTCGTTACTCCAATGGATGGTAGCCTTGTCATTATGGAAGGTAGTTTGTTGTCGAAATTTTTGTTACTCTAATGGATGGT